GGTTAAGTAAGTTAAGATTATTTAAAAGTACAATTATCATGCATAGTGTAAATTACCTAGGATAATCCACAAAAGTCAGACAAAGTAACCTAACTGCATGAAAATCAGTTACAATAAAAGGAGATACAGTGGGACCTCCACTCCTTTCTGTGACCTTGCTCGCATCTGGATTTGCTCGTTTGCAGAGTCAATTTCCCTCGGCCGGGATTGAACCCGCGGTCAGAGTCTCAAAACTCCAGCCCGTCGTGTTAGCCACTAGACCAGCTAGCCACAATAAGATTCGTCCAACTAGGTATATTTCTACACCATAGGAAGGTTAGCACAGGTACCACTGTGACCACAAATGCAAGTTTTTACAGACGAATCTCCAGCTAGTGTGGCCGTGACAAACTCTAGCTTAAGTCCCTTCACTGCCGTCAACATGACTCACGGGCTGGAGTTTCGAGACTCTCTGACCGCGGGTTCAATCCCGGCTGGGGTATGGTTTGTTTGCAATCGTGTCATTACAATTTCGTGAGTCAATTTCCCTCATTTAAATTAACTGAAATGCAATTAATCCGTTCCAGTGGAATTCCATAATATCAACAATTTATCACAATTCATCTAATATGATATAATAAACAATATAGATAACACAGAAACCTGATATATACTCTAGAATAATATGTCACTCATGTAGTGGTATCATTGGCAGACGAGAATCTGTCTGGAGACCAGACAAAATATTTGAATAATTTCACTAATATCATCTGTACAGCTTATTTATCACAATTCATCTAATATGACATATTAAACAATATAAATAACATAGAAACCTGATATATACTCTAGAATGAATAAAATATATCATTATGTAACAGGTGGAGCCGGCCACAACCACTCCCGTTTTGTTGTGGTAAACACAGCCATCTAGTGACGGCCTTTTGAAGCCGTCTATTATAATTACAGTATTATTATATAGGACATTATTATTATACATGTACAGGTCTCCCTCAACATTCGCGTTTTCAACTTTCGCGGGCTTCACACATTCGCGAATTTCCAACCGCCAAATCATATTTAAGTTTACCGCCACGAGTCCTTACTACCCTCCCTCCGACCCCTGCAACTGGCAGCCAGCCCTCCCACCACTGTGTGGTGAGTGTTTTGTTTGTTCATTATTTGCTATTAAACTACAGTATAAATAATGTCAACCCCTCCATGACTGCATATTAGAATGGCTATTCGGACAGGTATTGGAAGGTGACATCATGTGTTTACTCTTGAACACAGCAAAGAATAAAAAATTTCTGCTACTGCTAATAATAATAATAATAATAATAATAATAATAATAATAATAATAATAATAATAATAATAATAATAATAATAAATACGATAGAATTGAAGAAGGAAATTGTACAAAAATACGAGGGTTGAAGCAGTGGTGGAGGAAGTGGCTGACGCATTGTCAGTGTGACTTTGTTTATGCTGGAGTGAGTATTAGTCTCCGTGCTCTTCCAAACATTTCACAATAATTCATTGTATTTGGTGCTTGTAGATTGAGTGTGACTGGAGTGGTTGAGGCAGTGATAGAGGCAGTGGTAGAGGCAGTGGTAGAGGCAGTGGTAGAGGCAGTGGTAGAGGCAGTGGTAGAGGCAGTGGTAGAGGCAGTGGGTGAGGCAGTGGGTGAGGTAGTGGTAGAGGCAGTGGCAGAGGCAGTGATATTTACTAACATATATGTTATAAATAATAATAGTACATTATGAATAACATTTATTATTATTATTATTATTATAAATGTTATTAATATTAACATGTACTATTATTATTTATAACATATATGTTAGTAAATACCACTGCCTCACCCACTGCCTCTACCACTGCCTCTATCACTGCCTCTACCACTGCCTCACCCACTGCCTCTACCACTGCCTCTATCACTGCCTCTATCACTGCCTCAACCACTCCAGTCACACTCAATCTACAAGCACCAAATACAATGAATTATTGTGAAATGTTTGGAAGAGCACGGAGACTAATACTCACTCCAGCATAAACAAAGTCACACTGACAATGCGTCAACCACTTCCTCCACCACTGCTTCAGCCCTCGTATTTTTGTACAATTTCCTTCTTCAATTCTATCGTATTTATTATTATTATTATTATTATTATTATTATTATTTTTATTATATTATTATTATTATTTTTATTATATTATTATTATTATTATTATTTTTATTATATTATTATTATTATTTTTATTATATTATTATTATTATTATTATTATTATTATTAGCAGTAGCACAAATGTTTGATTCTTTGCTGTGTTCAAGAGTAAACACATGATGTCACCTTCCAATACCTGTCCGAATAGCCATTCCAATATACTACAGTCATAAATGGGTTGACATTATTTATACTGTAGTTTAATAGCAAATAATGAACAAACAAAACACTCACCACACAGTGGTGGGAGGGCTGGCTGTCAGTTGTGGGGGTCGGAGGGAGGGTAGTAGGAACTTGCAGTGGTGGAGGCAGTGGTATTTAATAACATACATGTTGTTAAGGCATAACGTATGTATTTAGTACAATTTACGACGTTTTCATGTATTTTATGATTGTTCATGGTTCAACAAGTTAAGGAAGCAGTATTGTATTATATTTCCCTACAATATATTGGGGCACCAAACATTCACGGTTTTTCAACATTCGCGAGGCTCTTGATCCCCTAACCCTCGTGAATGTTGAGGGAGACCTGTATTATTATTATACGTATTATATTAATATTATATTTATTATACTATTATTATACTATTATTATAATTATTATTATTACAATATAAATAATTATTACAATATAAATAATTTTTATTCACACAAAAAATAGAAGATTCACTGTTATGCAGACTACTGCATTATTGTAATAATTTTATAAATAATGTCAACCCATTCACGACTGCATATTGGAATGCATATTGTTTACTCTTAACATTGCGAAAGAATCAAACATTTCTCCTACTTTGAGCTCAATTTCAAGGTACTTTTTGTCGTGAAACCAATCAAAATTGTATCTATTTCTGTAATATATCTTCCATTCTGTCAATTGAGACCAAAAAACTAGAATACAACCATAAAGCCAAACGGAAATACCGCTAAGGGGAGGCTAATTGCTGAGAAGTGAATTCCATTATTTATGGTCCGATTTCTTTCATTTTTGGTGTATGTTAAGAAGCATCTTTCCATCATACATTGCCCAAGTTTTAATAAGATAGTCCAACGAACAAATAAGATCCAATTCCCTAGATCAAAAGCAAGAGCCCCTCACTAGTGTCAAGGAACCTGCCCTGAGGCCCGCTCGCTTGTGGAAATTTCGCTCACGTATGGAAGCAAAAAATCGACCAATTGACTGCTTGTATTGGAAAAACCTACACATGGATGAGCTCACCAGTAAAGGTTCCACTGTATACTAGAAATAATGTAAACTGAGTTATTTACATTAACATTAAAGAGAGGATCAGCTGACAATAATAGGAAATAAGACAGACAGTCCTCAATGATGCACAGACTTTCTTGGGTAATCCTGGGTGGCTAACCCTCTGGGGTCAAAAATACAAACAAAATATTATTTTAATGTTGGCTACACAAGAAATCACTCTCCTCCCTTTCTATAGCTTCATTCATTAGGTACCTTTTAGCTCTCTTCCTGAATTGGCTCGTGTGATATTTTTTTTATTTTTTTTATTAACACATCAGCCTTCTCCCACCAAGGCAGGGTGGCCTGAATAAGAAAAACTTTCATCATTCACTCCATTACTGTCTTGCCAGAAGTGTGCTTTACACTACAGTTATAAACTGCAACATTGACACCCCTCCTTCAGAGTGTAGACACTGTACTTCCGATCTCCAGGACTCAAGTCCAGCCTGCGGTTTCCCGGAAATCCCTTCATAAATGTTACCTTGCACGTCACAATATGTTATTAATATGTTAATCTTCGAGTCTGTTTAACATACACAGGAGCACTGCAGTAGGTGTTCTGAGCCATGCTAGGTACAAACTCCTCAAACATCTTCTCACTCATAAAAACATAAAAATCAAGGTTTAGTAAGGTTGGTTAAGGTGGCTTTCATAAAAGCACATATGATAGAACTCTTGCTAAGTAGAAAATATCGGAGCAGCACTAATTAGCCCAGAGTAGTGGAGACTAGCCCAGAGCTATGGAGACTAGCCCAGAGCAGTGGAGATTAGCCCACAGAAGTGGAGACTAGCCCAGAGAAGTGCAGGCTAGCCCACAGCAGTGGAGCCTAACCCAGAGAAGTGGAGACTAGTCCATTAGCCCAGAGCAGTGGAGACTAGCCCAGAGCAGTGGAGACTAGCCCAGAGCAGTGGAGACTAGCCCAGAGAAGTGCAGACTACCCCAGAGAAGTGCAGACTAGCCCAGAGAAGTGCAGACTAGCCCAGAGAAGTGCAGACTAGTCCAGAGAAGTGGAGACTAGCCCAGAGAAGTGGAGACTAGTCTATTAGCCCAAAGCAGTGGAGACTAGCCCAGAGAAGTGGAAACTAGCCCAGAGAAGTGCAGACTAGCCCAGAGAAGTGGAGACTAGCCCAGAGCAGTGGAGACTAGCCCAGAGCAGTGGAGACTAGCCCAGAGCAGTGGAGACTAGCCCGAACCAGCAATAACTCGCCCAGACCAAAAAATAAATTATCCCAGACCAACAGTAAATCACCTGCCAATAAAAACCTATAACCCATAAAAAGCAACTGGAGAAACCTGGCGAGTTGAGGCAGGAGTGAGGTCTGAGGTGTGCTACTGGTCCCGGTGGGTCTGCTAGACCATTCTCCCACAACCTTGGTCTCCCACACACCTCAGGGGACCCAACAGACCCTGGAAATATGGGTCTGGCGGGCCACTAAACACCACAAAAGAAATATACCCTAGGTGGGACACGCGTGTGGGGGTGCAATCAATACCACTTTTCCGCCCTTAAAACACACAAAAACCGCACAAAAACACCTAC